GATCCAGAAAGCCTCAGGAGCATTCAATCAGCTCGGTAATATTTGGAAGAATCGCAATATCCAAACTAACACCAAAATACGGATATATGTTGCAGCGGTTCTAACAATATTACTTTATGGAAGCGAAGTCTGGAACACTACTTCGAAGCAACTACATCGCTTCGAAGTTTTCCATCAAAACTGTTTGAGGAGAATCCTTCGAATTAAGTGGTTCCACCGACCACCGCAGACGAGCAATGTTCAAGTGTTGGAGCGGGCAAGAATAAACCCGGTTATAACCTACATCAGTGCCAACCGTCTTCGCTGGTTTGGACATATTTCTAGAATGCCGGACACCAGGCTACCAAAGTATCTACTTGACTGGATACCTGCTCACGGCCGAAGATCACGTGGGCGGCCAAGAAAGAATTGGCGAACCTGTGTCCTGGAAGACGCAGTAACATTTACAGGAGATCCAGACATTGATGCAGGCCATTCGAATGATTGAGGAGACCTTATCAAGTTTAGGTAAGTAAGTGTAGGATTTATTTCACATTTTAATATTTTAATTCACCGTTTTTTTTGCCACGTCTTTATTTTAATTTTATCTTGTTTCTATTTCATATTCGTACATTTACCTTCTTATCTATAGTTCTTCCGGCCTTTTGTTTATTTATCAAATTTTTAAGTGCCCTTTTGTTAAGAGATAAGGGTTTTGGGAGAGAAGGCACTTCTGTAAATGTAACCGAGTATTCGTCGGGGATTGGGCGACATCTGTCCGACAGCGACATCTGTCCGACTCAGAAAATAGGTTATTTGGACAATAGTTTATGTCGGATCCTACCCTACGATTTTCTTAAAACTGTCCACAAAGTATGCTGGTTATAGGACGAATAATCTGTGTAAGTTTGAGCGAGTTTCTATGTGCCAAGTTTAAGATATTACCTTAAACACAAAAAATATATCCAATTCGGTTGTTTCAGTGGTTCCATAGCATATATCTGGAAATCCAACGATACGATTTTCTTGAAACTTTCTAGATAGTAAGATAGCTTTAAGACAAATAACTTGTGCAAGTTTGGATAAATTTCTATGTGCCAAATTTGAGATATCACTTCAAATACACAAAAATAGTGCTGTCGGACAGATGTCGCTGTCGGACAGATGTCGTGTTACCTTCGTCAGGTTTTGAATTATAAGTTTTCGACCGTTGCGAGAGCGTTTTATTTGGTACAATACACTAAATGTCTAAATCTTAGTCTTGTTTAATATACAGACCCCGTCAGCCTTCCACCTTTCTTGTTTTTAAAGAGACTGAGTCATCACATCGGGAATCGCAGTTCACTGTCAGAGCTACGTGCAGCCACTACCGCGAGTTGCTGAATTCTCATCTCCTCGTTTACCGGGAGTTTAAATATTAAGATTGTATCTTGTTTTAGACAGGTGCACCCGTAACTCGTTTTATACAGTTACGTTTATTTATTAACTCCTCGTTCATCGGGAGCAGTCCATTTTAGCTTTTAGTGTTAATTCCTCGTTCATCGGGAGTGGTCACTAATTTACCAGTACATATCTCGTTTAAAAAGTTAAAACCTAAATATATCGTTCCTTACTCCTCGTTTATCGGGAGCAGTCCATTAAGTTTTAGACCTGGTTTAATACAGGTTCATTTAGCTCTAGTCGCCCTATCCGTTGACCAGGGAGCGCCCCGTAAAGGCCAGTCAAGCCGGTTGCCGTGTAATAGCCGTTTTGTTTTTACACCACGATAGAGCTTCAAACTTTTCGGGATGTTATTTGACCGAAACCCATAATCATGGGTAGAGTGAACCGCTGCCAGTGTCTCTCTTTCCCAAACAAAAGTAGATGATATTAATTTGAATGACCGTCTGCAAATGCAAAATGATACCGAGAATGAAATCGGTCGCTCGTTTTTCCCATTCATTCACTGCTTTTAATTTCATTTTAAGTCTGTTTTTTTCTTCTCTTCCATTGTTATTGTTAATAACAAAAAAATATAAGGCCTAAAAGTAAATAGATAAAATTCTAATAATATCATCCTTTGCATGGCAGAACCTTTTTCTATAAGTATAATACAACCCCTTGAGTCCGTCGACTACAATGATAATGTCTTTCGTCAGTCCTCGTTATCAAGTACTCATTTATATGGCCAACTTCCATATGTTCGGTACGTACAACCAACGTAAGGATATCAGTCTTTTAGGACCGCTGCTAGCAGTCCTATTAGCATCCAGCAACGGACTACTAGCAGCGGTCCTAAGAGACGAATCGGCATTTATGGTCCTGTTCACGAATTTTGGTCGAGCTGGTACTATAATACTATAATACCTTCGCTACTGAGTGCTGAGCGCGATAATTCCCGACGCGACAGCTCTTGCTGGAGGGAACGCGCGGGCACGAAACAGCGAAGGTATTATATTAGGCATTGGAATCACTATGAAATGGTTTTGATCGACCCATACTATCCCTGCAAGTAAGCGATATGGTAAATGGTTGAAGGTTTCCACTTAGAAATATAATTTAAAAGCAAAGTAAACAAGCCTAAGCCAACAACAAATCACTATTGAGATCACTTGACCCATGGCATGAGCCAATCTACCTACATAACTTGGCTCTAAGTCTATATCTCTATCTCATCTTAAGCTCATAAAACAGGATTATACGCAATTGTCGCGTTATCTGATCAAGCAGTTGCTCAATTGATTCCGATTCGTCATCTTCCCATGGTTGATGGTATAGGTAGCTTGATCTATATTGGACGCAACTAGGTCCAGCAGCGCATCTCGGATAAATGGATCACATAATCATTAGTGATGCTCCTGTTTCTCATTATAGGATGTTGATATGAAGATATGACAAGATAGAATTGCAAATTAGTTGTTATGTTACACTGAGAAAGCTTATGACGTGTACAAAGGTATTTTACTTCTCAGAGACGTGGTTCCCCTCCTTAAACTCATTTACTTTGTTCGGGATTCGTTTTGTGTTACAGAGGAATTTATTTTCTCCCTTTTGAATCAATTAAGCTAGATGACCTTTGTTATAAGGTTATAGATTTGACAATCGAGTCCACTTATTAAGTAATTTGTTGGAAATATGTATCAGGGTATATGATCACAATGCTGGCAAGCATTACCGTCGCCCTTATATTCACAATACTATTTACCCCCTATACTATTATATCCCCTTTATTGATTTCCAGGCATTAAGACTCATCGAAAGTAGATCAGCAGGTACATTTAAGTTCAAAACATTCTAATTCAATGTTAAAGATGACAGGAATAAGAAATAGTTATATGGAGGTTTTTAAGAAATTTGCGCAAAATACGCGCCAGCATGTTATACGAAATTAGGTAAAAAACCCAAAATCGCCATATTCAGGTGCCTTAAAAACCATGTTAAAATTGAGTTAGAGATCTGAAACTTTGCAGGGCGTCTAGACCTTGTCCAAATCGACTGTAAAAAAAATTTCATGTTTCAGGAGTATCGTGAAGTGGGTTTTCTGGAACCCCTGTTTTACAACAGATTGTCGTGAAGATATATAATATATAATATAGACGCTTTTTGCAGTCAATTGTAGCCTACATTTAAGTGTCCGTAGATTCGAAAGTATAAACGATACAGTCATCTCGAACCACAGGTTTTAAAGATAATTGTTTAAGCTTTAGTTTACATTGTATTGAAAAATAATTTAACGTCATCATCATCACTTGATGACGTCATCAAATTAAGTGTTTTAAAAACTTGATTTTTGACAAAGTAACAACTTTTCAAATCGATTTTACGCTATTAAGGAGTAATTTTATTCAAAATCTGAGGACATTTTCACCTTAGATAATTGTTCAAGAATTCCGAAAATCTACCGGAATAGTTTCCTACCTTGCTCCTTCATAAAGATATTTGCTATTGAAGTTAGTGCTTTTTTGAAGAATAATTTTATAAAAACACAAAAGTTGTGAATTAGTATTCTCTGGTGTTGGGTCATCCCTTGGAGTGTGGAGCTCAATTTTGCTTCTTAAAGGTGTAAATTGTGTTATAGGCTAGTTTTAAAGTTAAAAATCGAAAAGTTGCACACGTGGGGACACGCCCAAATTTATTTAAAATAGCTAAAATCACTAAAAATTTTGATTTTCACGATTTTTATCAACTTTGGAGTCCCGTTGTGATCCAAGTTCTTTTTGAAATCTTCTGAAACTTTGCATGCTTATCAAACCATATATTAAATACCACTATGCAAAAATTTACGGTGATTCAATATTGTATGCGCACGCAACGTCCGCTCAAAGTTTGCACGTGCGAAAGGTGAGAATTTTGCTCATTCGTGATTTCGAATATATTCTGCTTTCCACGATATTTAAATGGCATTATATATGAATTTAATGCCAACTTGAATGAGTAAAAAGTGCCATATTCAGTCGGTTATCGACAGATATACCTAATTAAACACAAGGAAACGTTTTCAAAGGCAGAATTTCGAAATCGTCGGAATTACCTCCTTGTTAACGAAGTTTCGATTGTGTAAATTATCCTGACATTATAATCAAAAAGAGATGATATTTGACCAAAACCCATAATCATGGGTAGAGTGTACCGCTGCCAGTGTCTCTCTTTTCCAAACAAAAGGAAATGATATTAATTTGAGGAACCGTCCGCTAATGCAAATTGATACCGAGAATGAAATCGGTCGCTCGCTTTTCCCATTTAATAAGCTTTATTACAATTCGTAAGCCGTGAATGAATGGGAAAAGCGAGCGACCGATTTCATTCTCGGTATCAATTTGCATTAGCGGACGGTTCCTCAAATTAATATCATTTCCTTTTGTTTGGAAAAGAGAGACACTGGCAGCGGTACACTCTACCCATGATTATGGGTTTTGGTCAAATTAAGCTATACATAATGAGATCTGTTATGATACGTAATTTCAGTAGAAGTAGGAAGACAAATTATAAAAAGGTATACGGTGGCTACGACCCGCCATCGTTTTCTATTTTAATATTGAATTGGAATTTCATAGCTCAAATTGCCAGCTCACTTTCTTTTTCCTATTTTGTTTGATTTGCTACGCATTTGTTACGTTCTGATAGCGGGGGTTTTGCCTTACAATGCAGTATCTTATCAATTAAAACGAATGATGTCTCTATGTTAGTGACATTTTCGCATACATTTGATTGCAAGATTTGATTTAAGTTGTGTTTCGAGTGTCAGGATTTCTATTAAACTATAAATCAATTATTTTACTGATAAAAATAACTATTCTCATAAATAGACACATTAGAGATAATAGTAGATATTATGGCAATAAGATTATTCAGAAGGCGGAGAAGATTACTTAAAAATTTGGGAATCTTTGGAATTATTTTAGTGATCGTAGCTGTTTACAAAACAACAGTAAGTGTTCTGCAGTAATCTCTACAGTCTCCGAAACTTTTCCTTATTCCTTATTCCTTATTCCTTATTCCTTATTCCTTATTCCTTATTCCTTATTCCTTATTCCTTATTCCTTATTCCTTATTCCTTATTCCTTATTCCTTATTCCTTATTCCTTATTCCTTATTCCTTATTCCTTATTCCTTATTCCTTATTCCTTATTCCTTATTCCTTATTCCTTATTCCTTATTCCTTATTCCTTATTCCTTATTCCTTATTCCTTATTCCTTATTCCTTATTCCTCATTCCTTATTCCTTATTCCTTATTCCTTATTTCTTATTCCTTATTCCTTATTCCTTATTCCTTACTCTCATCTTTAAAGAATTATTTGTTAATTCTGCTTATTAATATTGTGAATTAGTTATAAAAAGAAGCATGACTAAACAAGTACTTTGACAATTTGACATTTCATAAGTGAACTAAAGATAGCGATTGTGTTTTTTAGTGCAATTATTGGCTGTAATTCGGGATAAAATAACTAGTGAGTAGTGACCGGCTATGATATAAATCTGCAGCATAATATTGATTACCATTCAATCTAATTTCAGAAGGATAAGTCGTTAATTCAGAAAAGGAACACACTAAATCATAATCAAGATGCCAACTTATCTGAAGAAGTAATTAAGAGAAGAGTAGAGAGCGTTAAAAGAAGATGTTCCCCTAGCAAGGATATACATCATAATGGTGCAGATTTGCAGGTTAATTAAAAGTCATTATAAATAATATTATTCAAGTTATAAAACCTGATCCGCCCTTCATCTATTCATTTAACATGTCAATAATGATATGCAGTTGTTGGGGCATATACTCTAGATGAGATGTAAATAAACTTTATTTTTATACAATAAGTCGATAAAAAGTGTTGCCAAGAAATAGATGTGGACTGATCTTCTCCTTCCACATTTCAGGTTTCAGATTTAGTTGAAAGCCTGGAATTCAAGCTTGAGGAAAATGGTTTGTATATTGATTTCGTTACTAGTCTGTAAAGAGCTGCTGTGTTGTAGGGCATGGTCTTTAATTAATTAATACAGGGTGGGCCAAAAGTCAGTGTGCAAACGTTGGCCTTAATAGCTCAGTCACTGAGTGCCCAATTGAAATACTTCCTTCTGGTATGACTTAGTACCACCACTGGTTCGAGGAATTTGTCAACTCGAAAAATATTCGCGTTCATTTTTTTCAAATGGAGGTTCATTTTCACATTTATTTGATAGTTTGGATAGTCGGATCAAGCTAAATGTTATTGAATTGTGTTCGGCCATTCGAATTACGTTTGTCCTGAAAGAATTAGAACTGTAGCTTCTCAGATGACCGAGATATGAAGCATAACGAGTTTATTCATTACGTGTGATCAGGTGATTGGTTTACCTAATCACGTGATAAGGTAACCCCGTTAACTACCCCGTTAAACATTATGGGAATTGTTAAGGGTGCCCAATTAAGGTGTCGTGTCACGGTGTCACAAATTCACCCAGTCAATTTTGTTAACGAGATACACAAAATGCTTGATAACTTCGTCATTTCTAATCCGTTTTGCCTCATGTTTTCAGATCATATGCAACATTTGATAATCTACCGTCTCTGAAAAAAATTAGGCGTTCAGCATGTTCAGAGAAAACAATATAGGTGTTTTAATATTGAATGGGCGTGGTCTAAAATATTCGAATTTTCAAATTTTGACGACGGAATCCTCGAACCAGTAAGTACAATATGCCATCTGCAAAGCAACAGCTCTCAAATATAAAACACGGCGGAGGTATAAGACCCAACGTTTGCACACTGACTTTTGGCCCACCCTGTAGTTTATCCAATTTTTATAAAATATTTAAAATGGTTATTCGTTATATATTTTTGTTGACGATAAATCGTGTGGGAAGAGATAACATAATTATAAAATCAGTTATAAAAACAGCGGGACTTAATAGAGCAAAAAGCAATCGCTACAGAGACTTTTATTTTTTTGATGTAAAGCTTTCAATGCAAGCTTTGGGAAGGGGGTCAAGCTTTTAATAATCTTCGGATTCCGCAGCAATAAGGTTGCATCCAGCACAAACTTTTATGTGGGGTAGGTCAATTGGGATTGAAACTAAACTTATTTTCAGTCAAAATCAATGTTGCACCGTTACCTTTCACTAATGAATTGACGGTATATTTGGTAGCCCATTCCCACTGCGACCCAGGCAAGTTTATTATTTCATTTTATTTTGTTATTTGATAATGTTAAATACATCTTTTTTTGCCATTATTTTTATTTTTTAAATAAAAACACTATTTGATTATTTTATATCTGTATTATATTAATTTTAGTATTCGTTTAATTTTATTTCAAATTTTTTACAACTTTCGATGGGCTGACAAAAATTGTTTTTGAAAACCTTATTCTTTCGATTTTGATAAATTAACTCACCAAAACAGGATGGCTGGAGACATACACTAAGTATTACAAAACTGAAGTAAAACCGCTACTTACAAACCTATATCAGTGGGCAATGGACCACCAAGACTTCAAGTACATTTATGCTGAGGTTTTTAACCCAAACAGTTCAGTAATGTTCAATAATGGTTGTACTACATTGATCCATTTTGTTGACAGATCAAAATTTGACTACCGTACATCACTGACCAACTTAGTTTGTAGCCGTTTATACTAACTTATTCTATTTGCAGGTCTCTTTTTTCAAATTGTGGTGGGAAGATCAAACTAAAAAAGTTAGGGATGACATGGGGAGACTTGCTCGTGAAGGAAGATTTGAGTTTGTCCAGGGAGGTTGGGTTCAAGCAGATGAGGCAAACAGCCACTACTTTGCACTTTTAAACCAGATGCTGGATGGCCACGAATGGCTGAAGAAGAACTTACCTGATGCTAGACCCAGAACTGGGTGGGCCATTGATCCGTTCGGCTTGTCCCCCGTTATGGCACAAGTCAACAAAATGTTTGGCTTAGACGCAATGCACATTCAGGTATGAACATTTCGTTGCACCCGCCTTTTTATTAAATATAACGAGCCAGAGAGTGTGGATGTTCAGCCGAAGCTGTGCCAATTGGCAGCTTGTTGAGTCACTGAACAATGTATCTACCGGATACATAAAATAGGAATTTGAAAGTGCTGTTATGATCATGAGTGTTTCAGAGAGTACATTATACGCTGAAGAAACATTTAGCTGAGAACAGGAAGCTAGAATTCAGATGGCGTCAATCATGGGGTAAATATTTGGTAATTAAACTAAACATTTTCAAAAAACGATATGGTTGAGCTAAAACCAAGCGTTTTCGTTTTTAAATTATTACAGCAACTCGGAATTTCGAAATTAACATCATCATTGACATTTTTCAGATTCCGATGAAGATACAGACATTTTGACCCATATGGGCCCCTTTAATGGTTATTGCGATTCCGATACTTGTGGTCCGGATACTAATGTTAGAATTTTCAAATTTGATCAGTTTTAACTGGTGCTCTGTTTCTTTTTGTAGAAACCATTTTACAGCCTATCACAGTTTTAACTGTTGCTCCGTTTCTTTTTGTAATAATCATTTTACAGCCTATATTTCACAGTGTCCACCCGGTTAATAGTCTCGATAAAGACTATTGTGCAATGTACATTCATCATTATAAATTGTTTGTATTTACACAGGTTTGCGTACAGTATGATTATTCTAAAATGGATTTTCTCACCGAACGACCACCGATTGTCTTTATAACCCCTGAAAATGTTAAAGAAAGATCATTGTTGATATTAGATCAGTGGCGTAAGAAGGCAGCTTTACATGCTTCTAACGCAGTGTTCATCGAGCTCGGATGTGATTTCTCCTACCGTTTCATAAACCACTTGGAAACTGTCTACAGCAACTATACGGTACTAAAATATAAATGTCCTCATCGCTTTACTTATAGCTAGATATTTACTATGCGTTACTTCAAACATACTGCAGGCTGTTCATTTGAGCCATGCACAATGAGCATGTCATAAACACGAATTCCATAATTGAGTTGAAACGTTGATTGATTGGATTGTTAAAATATGGATAGTAAACTTTTAATTAGTATTTCTTAATCGAATCCTTTGAGAATGAAATTAAACTTATGGACAACAATACTTGCAGATGATACGGGAATACATAAATAACAATCCAGAGCTCAATACTCAAGTGAAATGGGGTACTCTCAGTGACTACTTTGACCACATAAAGAAATCAAATGTCAAATTCCCCAGTCTCAGCGGTGACTTCTTCACATACGCCGACAGATCGGACCAGTACTGGAGTGGTTACTATACTTCTCGGCCATTCTACAAGAACCTAGACAGAGTTCTGGAGTCGTCCCTGCGGCGAACTGAGATCTTATTCTCTTTTTACAGAGCAAAGGAAGGTGTTAAGGAACTTACCGATGTTAGGAATACCCTGTCTCTTTTTCAACATCATGACGCTATCACCGGAACTGCCAAGAAGAATGTTGTTCTTGACTATGGCCAGATGTAAGTAGTTGTACAGGTAACGTTTTGACTAATCCATAATGTTTACTATAAAGTTAGAAGATTGTTTCAAATATGGATCTTTATGTACCTTTAACCCAGGTATATATTGCCCAGGTTAAGCAAAGCCGTGAGCAAATGTGACGAGCTATCTATAACAGCAATACGACAAATTATGTACAACTTGGGTATTGACGGCAAAGATTTTCATTCTACTCGATCGATAGGTGGCCTTACACGTTATTCGAAATACCGAATCCTAATCGATCCAGCGGATATTGTGATTGCCAACACGATTGCCAGGAAAACGTCTGCTGCTCAAGTCATAGCAGTTCAATCGAATCTTAATTTCACGGCAAGTCAAAAATGGATTCCTATGTTCTCAAACGTACAGTTTAGTGTATGCAGTGGTCGCATTTTACCAGTCCAGTCAGTAAATGATGTTTTATCTATAATTTATGATTAAATTGTGTTACTCACAGGTTGTAAGCAGTGGAGGTGAGATTGTCCCTCAGCAGTTTGAACCATCTATTGAATATGGTAGAATAGTCCGCAACTCAGAGTTCATCGTGTTTTGGACTGAGCTACCATCAGTTTATATCAGTATCAATAAGTGAGTGGTTACTAATTCAATCGGTGTATAGCTAATGTTTTTAAATACTAGAACGAGCCGATCATAATTGCTGATCGCTAAATGCATCTGACATTGATAAAACATTGAAAATTAACCTTTTCTAAATTGAAAACGGAAAACAAGAAGATATTTCAGGCCCAATTATATAGTTATATAAAACACACTTCCTATTAGCATTAACAGTAAATTATACGTTATAAATCATTATTCAACATGTTACAACTTATTATTTTGGATTTGACTCGAAAGTTTTAACTAGAAACTGCTTTATCTATCATGCAGTGAAAGGTATGTGTTGATGCTTATGCTTTTAACTTTTCAAGGTTCAAATTGATACATTCCGAAGAATCAGCCAAGAAGCAGGAAAGGAGAACGGAGGTAACACTTTATAATACTGATACTCTATACGGCAAGACACTAATGTCCCTACAACTTGCTTTCGAGGTAACAATGAAGATACAGAGGGATGAGTGTGAGGACATTGATATTGGAGGAGATAAGCTCGTAATAACCTTAGACTGTCTAACAGGTAATACTTTTAGACATGCAGATAAACCTTATTCGTTATCTGCAATAAAATACTTAGATTATCGGCCTTTACTTTTCCGGGCCACAAGCTTTCCGGCCCTTAATTTTTCGTTGTGGACTTCCCAAGAAATAGTTGAATTCAAACAACGCTAAGTTCAAAAATATGCGAATCTTAAGTAATGGAATTCAGTCAGCGCGTTTCAGGTCGATTGAAGAATATACAGAAAGAAGGAATAAATGTGGCTATAGAGCAAGAAGTGTTACTGTACAAATCCGATAGAAGTGGAGCTTACCTGTTTTTACCTAGTGGTGATCCCTCTCAAATATGTTAGTCTGAATTTAAAATATATTAACAAAGTTATTGTATACAATCGAGATTTGAGTCTACATTTTAATTTAAAGATAAGCATTTCTGTTCAGTTGTATAACTGTAAGTGTGCATGAAACTTACATAAATTAACTGTATGTTCAAAAATTATTTAAATTTTCTTTAATCTTAGTTATTCAACAGTATTAGAATCATCAAGACCGGAGTTTATCGTTATAAAGGGACCTATACGAGATAAAGCAGTTGTTACCCTCAAATTTCTTAGCGGGAGCACACTGGTACTTACTTACATAGTGTATCATCACCCGGGTGAGACAAAACTCTTTTTGTGCTACTCTCATTCTCTGCAGTATCCTATACTTTTGTTTGTGTTTTATTTGGACTTAAGTATTCAGTGAACTTCAGTGAAATCTTTAAATTTTATGTTTTCGATTTGACTTATTTTACTGTAAGGGTTGGAGGGCCAGTTTGTGGAGCTGAAGATGATGTCAGATTTAAAGGATTATGGTGATTTGGCTATCAGATTCAAAACTGACATCAAGAGTGGAGATAGTATCTTCACAGATCTTAACGGTCACACGATTCAGCAGCACAAGTTTAAAAGGAAACTTCTAACACAAGGCAACTTTTTCCCGATGCCCTCAACAGCTTTCATCCAGGACTCCTCAACTCGTTTCTCACTTCTGGGATCTGAACCTCATGGGGTGGCTTCTCTTGCTGAGGGTGAGTAATCTTATTTGCCTTATTGCATCAGAAACTATTTGTTCATAGATAGACACTATTTGTAAAGTTGTAAGTACATGAATTAGATACATGTTGTATAATACATATGTGCGTGATGACTTTGACTTCGTTAGCGCTGTGTACATAATATTTGGCAGTAACAGTCAAATTATTTTAAGGTTGGATCGAGGTTGTATTAGACAGAAGAACATTACAAGATGACCACAAAGGCATGGGGGAAAAAGTAGATGACAACGTACCCACCCCTGCTAATCTCCGTATATTGGTGGAAGCGAGATCAGAGACCCCGACTCAATCAGAGCTTTATATGGTGGAGTATCCATCTCTAGTCAGTCACATGACTCTTCAGTCCTTACTACATCCTCCTTTTTTACTGTCAGCAACTCTTGCTGAGAATTCTTCTCCCCACCAGCACCAAGTATTCAGCTAATGTAAGCTATTCTATATCACTTTATTTGGAGGTTTCTGAAATTGTCTAAGAGTATTATAATCAGATTTATTGTCATAAAAACAGACACAATCATCATATTTCATTGCACTTGATACAGATAACAAATAGCTTTACAATTTCTTTTAATTATCAGGAGATCTTTACCTTGTGACGAGGAGTTGGTAAATTTACGATACATTGGAAAACAAACTTCCCAACTGATAAGAAGGAAGCTGGGATTTTCTTGCAATATTGACATGCCGGTCAGCTGTGATAACACCGATCTGGTACGTTTCTACTTTTTATTTCAATATTTTAATCCTGAATCCAGTATTGAAATAGAAATACGGGTGTTTTGAAATTTCAGTATTGTAAATGTAACTTTGATATCATTATTAAGATTGATTAATTTATCAGCTTATACACAGAATGAACTTATCAAGCGTTAATTTTCAGAGTCTGAGTGAGATTTTCTTTGAAGATGTGACTATAGAAGACCACCCATTTTCAGCATTTCATCAAAAATCCTATCCTGATAAAAGGAATTTAAAAGCAATGGAATTTTCATCAGAACACGTTACGTTTAATAATGGAGATTGGATTTGGAGTTGGACATAGCAACCTTTTAGGTGCACCTTTTAACGCACATTTCCGTATAATTGACATTTCCTATAAAGTTTCGTATTTTTTATAACTTGTTAACACTTTAACAATTTCGTGTGTTCATTCGACAAATTGAAAATTAATTTAGGACCGTCGTGAGACCGTCGATGATTTGGGATAGAAATATTGGCAATTCGCCAATGAGTCGGTGGACACTCAAGGGACACTCAAGGGACACTCAAGGGGCACTTAAGAGTTAAGACATGGATAACACACGTCGATTCCGCGCCTGCCTAGATTTTTTATTTGAAATTGGAGACAAAAAACACCGCACTTAAGCTACACAATTCGCCAAGTTTGCAGCCTTTAGGCACTCCCAGGTTAAATTATTAAACAGTACTGCGTAGTAAATAATATTAATAACGTTGACTTACACAATTACGCGATCATGTTGAGTTTAACAAAACAGATAACTTACAAGTTACACGGTATATGTCTTACACTGAGTTCCTGGACAATTCAAAATGTGTGAATCTAGAATAACCGTTAAAGAAGTTTTTGTGATTAGGTGGGCAGGATAACTGGGGCTAGTTGAGCTGGTCATGAGTATAATCGATGCAGAGTATTCAATAAATTGTAACTTTACAACAATCAACATTAGATTGTGTGTATAAGCTATAATAGTAAGTAGTTCTTCTTCCTGATGTTACGTCATGAAAAACATTGGACCCTAACCATAGTTGTGGGCATGTCAATCTCAGGGTCCGGACTCTACGACTTGTAGGTTTGGCTGTAGGACTATTGAGCGGAGGACTGTTGAGCGTAGGACTGTAGGTCGGTGAAGGTCGGCAGTAGGACTGTAGAGCGGTGTCAAATCGACAGGGTAGGACTCTAGAGCGGCCGCCCTTATAGATCTCACAACATGAGGACTTTAGAGGGGTACGATCCTAAAATAGAGCGGTGGACTGTTGAGCGGTGGACTGTAGGCCGGTGAAGGTCGGAAGTAGGACTGTAGAGCGGCCCTCCCTTATAGATCCCATAACATGAGGACTCTAGAGCGGTACCCTCCTATAACATGAGGACTCTATAGCGGTTGAAAATTTGAAGATTGAACACTCAACGAAGCTAAGTTGTAAGTTATACATTGTAACTCGTGATTGATTATGGTCATGACATTCTAGGATGATAACTTTATTAAAGAGTCATGGAGTTAATGAACATTTTCATTTACTTATTATAAATATTTCATTACTAATAATATTATTATAGTGTAACTTAATTTAAGATTATTGGTCGGTCTCAACGTCTTCCAAATGATTGAAATATTCCCCATGCTACTTGAAAATGTAAAACGTGTCTTCGGTATTTTAGTGAACTGTTCGTATCAATGTGATTTCGCTAAGCAGAGTACCGATCAAGTTCGTACAGATCATTTAGGAATGAGGATCGCATCGCGTGTCGCTTTAGCGCCTACTAAGGATATCTGATGTTCATCAATCTGGTGACGGAACTGATTCAGATCAGATCCCATCGCAGTGCGATATCTTGTTAGGATTTCAAAGGTTCACTAAAATACCGAAGACACGTTATACATTTTCGAGTAGCAGGCCCAGGGGAATATTTCAATCATTTGGAAGACGTTGAGACCGACCAATAATCTTAAATTAAGTTACACTATAATATTAGTAATGAAATATTTATAATAAGTAAATGAAAATGTTCATTAACTCCATGACTCTTTAATAAAGTTATCATCCTAGAATGTCATGACCATAATCAATCACGAGTTACAATGTATAACTTACAACTTAGCTTCGTTGAGTGTTCAATCTTCAAATTTTCAACCGCTATAGAGTCCTCATGTTATAGGAGGGTACCGCTCTAGAGTCCTCATGTTATGGGATCTATAAGGGAGGGCCGCTCTACAGTCCTACTTCCGATTTTCACCGGCCTACAGTCCACCGCTCAACAGTCCACCGCTCTACAGTCCTCATTTTAGGATCGTATCGCTCTAAAGTCCTCATGTTGTGAGATCTATAAGGGTGGCCGCTCTAGAGTCCTACCCTGGCAATTTGACACCGCTCTACAGTCCTACTTCCGACCTTCACCGACCTACAGTCCTACGCTCAACAGTCCACCGCTCAATAGTCCTGTTCCCGTAGGTTTACAAACCGGCGCCGTACAAACCAGGACTCTACGGCGGTCGGCGTGTGAAAAACAGGACTCTACCGCATATAGTAAGATGATATTTGCCGCCGTAACGGTATACCGTTACGGTGGCAAATATCATTTTACTATTTTTGATCAAAATAGATCTAATTCCATATTAGAATTTTTTTAAATTAGGATGCCAGTGGTCACAGCCCGTCACAGGGAGTCTTCTATGAAAGTCAGTTTTTATCACATCAAGAAATATTTATCTTGACCTACAAATATTTATTCTGACCGACAGCCGATGAAATGTAACGCTGACTGAACACAACGTAATAATATGATGATTTTTTAGTGTGAAAATGACGACTCGCGCGATCGACGAGAGCAAAAAAGGGTGTGGTCACATAACTCAACTGCAACAACCTGATGTCTGGTAACTTTAAAATTATGCTCCACCCCATAAATGTGATGATTCTGAACAACTTTGAAGCCAATTTGAGCTTCTAATTCCAATTAGATGCGGGTTTATTTTGATTTTAAAGTCGCGAAAACACCAAAAAAGGGCGTGGTCAATTGTGCAAAACTGCACCATAGCCAAAACTTCTACCCAAGCCAAATCTGTTTCTGATGGGTCCCTTGAGCTATTCCAAGTCTCAAACCCCGGGGCGGAAGTTATATAGACGGGAATGTCTTCAGATCCATATTCCATGAGTATCTGTATAACTATAACTATAAGCAGATTAAACTTATTTCAAAACGATACCGTACACTATATAGATATTACCGGGTCGGTAATATCATAAAATTTAATTTCAAATGGAAACAATACTGATAGCTAGTGTCTTAAAGTTGAAGTAATCGGAATCGAATGAAAATGAATTAATATTGGAATTGATCTTTCAATTTAAATGAATCGCTAGAGCGCTTCCCACCTCTAGGACACTCGCTATCAGTATTTTTCCATTCGAAAGTTTATATGATATTAACGACCCGGTAATATCTGTACTGCAGTATCGTTTTGAAATAAGTTTAATCCGCTATGTGTTCAGTCAGTGTTCCTTACTGATTTTTCACACCCCACGCCGTAGAGTCCCAGTTTGTACGGCGTCGCCGTAGAGTCTTACGCCCTAGGGTCCCGGTCCCGTCAATCTTATCTCATTGTACATGATGGTACCAAGTACATAAATCTATTAGAACAAATAGCGACTGATGATGCAAAAAGGTGCGGTATAACTATAAGGTCAATAGTGCGATTCCGCATCCACCGCACTTACATTTTGTCTCTGAGGGCAGAGGCGAATCGTACGGTGTGCCGCCCCCGCTTCATGTTTGCCCCCCCCCCCCCTCACCACCCCACTCAAATTTTTCTAATGTTCTAAAAAATAAAATAAATTCAGGCCTTATTTTTGCCACCTAGTCTTACAGCTTTTTGCCAGCCCAGTTACAGGAGCATTTTTGCACCCCAAAGTTTTGTTCGTGTCGTACAAACATTTTTAGGTTCCAAGAGGTTAGATTTAGGTCTTTTTCGGCCCCCCTAAAAAACTTTAGTCAAATGCAAAGTCTACATTAAAATATAAGATAATAAAAATAAATGATAAATATCACACAAAAGAATGTTCCTAACAAAAATTATTTTACATCTCTAATTATTGAGCAAAAAATCTAATTTAATACGCCATCTAACACATAACATTTAACACATAACAATTCACTGAAGCACTAAGTTCATTTAAAACATATATTTATCATTTTCCTCATGTTAGCTAACCATAAAAAATTTGTTAAAATATTTTATTTCATTTACAATTTATTATAAGGACACGTTCATTGAAGTTTGAGGATATTGGTAAATATTAGTGACCTTACTAAATGGCACGATGATGTAAAATGTGTCACACTATAAAATTATTTAAACCCTCAATGGTTAGGATAATCGTTTCATCCTCTAGATAAACTTTGTCGCATAACGATTTCTTTATCAGACGATAAGATATCGCTTAAATGCGGCCGGCAGTGAGTTGTAAACTTTGTCACACTATAAAAATGTGACGGAGTTTATATGGACCCCTTGTTGCCGTGTTTGACCAAATTTTCGAATTTCCAATTCATAGAATAGCTGTATATGACTATTATCTACATATTTAGCGACTTTTTTCGTTAAATGGTAGCACCGTGTAAACTCCGTCACACATTTAAGAAATTTATATGAGGGATGTTTATGACATCCTGACAAGAAATGCCGAATAGTCTAGCATTATTTTGTGAGCTGAATGTGTTTGGAATTGTTCACATATTTCATTGTTATAGGCAAATACAAATACAGAAGGCAGAAATAGGTAAATTTAGTCACATAAATTTGTATGATATCTCAACATGTGTGAAATTGAGTAAATATTAGTATACCAACTTAAACACCCTATATTACGTACTATGGATCAATTAACAATATTTCAACCATACGCCGGTCATATAAATTATTATATGGCAGTGATATGTTAACATTGGATAAATTTCAACACCTGAACAGGGTAAAAATTTGTAAATTTCGTCACAAAAAAAATATTATAACTTTATTTGCTCCGTGTTGGCAAAATAACTAGTTTATCGACATAGGTATGGTGATAAAGTAAAATTATATCCTATTCGAGGTATGATTCTTCAAAATAGGGGGCAAGAAATGTAAATTTCGTCACATCAGCCCTTGCATTAGTTAGTAGATAGATTTTCTTTCATATCAACAGTCCTTATTATAGTTAGAATGGATTTACACAGGAAATATAGAAACCCATGCCAATTTTTTATCACACTGAAATTATACTGTTGGGGCAGGAAAAGTAAATTTCGTCACATTTCAGTAACTTAGTAAAATTAAACTCAGCATTGTTAAACTTGAGTTCTAATTTGCAGAACAATAACCAACCAATAATTCCTGGAAGAAAATTGAATTTTAACTGAGGTATGGTTCTTTAAAATAGGGGCAAGAAATGTAAATTTCGTCACATACGTAATTTTAAAATTTAGATAGATTTTCTTTCATACCGATAGTCCTTATTATAATCGGAATGGATTAATACAAGAAATGTAGAAACCCATGCCAATTTTTCATCACATTGAAATTATACTGTTGGGGCAGGAAAAGTAAATTTCGTCACATTTCAGTAACATAGTAAAATTAAACTCAGCATTGTTAAACTTGAGTTCTAATTTGATAAATAATAACCAACCAACAATTCCTGGAAGAACATTGAATTCTAACCGAGGTATGGTTCTTCAAAATAGGGGCAAGAAATGTGAATTTCGTCACATAAATTTAACCTCTTTATGATGTCTTATCATTTTGTGACGATGTTTACATCAACTGCCCTATACTTGAATCAACTGTATCCGTGTATCGTCCTTATATAGAGGTTTCCCGCAAAATTTAACTTATTCACGATGTCGTATCATTTTGTGACGATGTTTACATCAACTGCCCTATACTTGAATCAACTGTATCCGTGTATCGTCCTTATATAGATTTTCCCCGCAAAATGTAACCTATAAATACGATGTCGTATCATTTTGTGACGATGTTTACATCAACTGCCCTATACTTATATCAACTGTATCCGTGTATCGTCCTTATATAGAGTTTTCCCGCCTTCCAAACCAAAATCAGATATAAATGATTTCGGAAATTCACCCAGAATTTCAAATTCCATATAATGTGACAGAATTTACATCATTTCCCAATAACCAAGTGCATGTATTTGCTAACTTTTCAAAACAACATATTTTAGGGCTATGATTGGCAGAAGAACCATCAAATAATGAGTTGAAAAGGTTTTGATGACACCTCACAGTAGAAAAGAGGTATCGTATTCTGAGTGTGACAAAGTTTACGAAATATTGCCTTAAAGCCGTTCGATCCGTGCCCTTTAACCAATGTTGTATCATAATTGTTAGATTGACCTAATCTACTATATATCAGACCAAGGAATGATAATTGGGCAGCTATGGTAAACAATGTCACAAAAATGTGACATTTTTTACATTATAGTGCCTAAAAGCAATACATTTTATTTCTGAGCAGTGCATATGGGAGTATGGGTCATGTGGCTAATGTTCAGAACTTATGAACACGCTAGATTAATAGATGCTAAAATTAAGCCACTATCGTCGAAAACGCTATTTTAGAAATTTACCAATATCCTCAAACTTCAATGAACGTGTCCATAAAATTATCATCAATCACAAAAGTATACTCTCTTTGAACGTAACATATTTGGATCCCCCCTGTCCCCCCCGCCTGTCCACCCGTATCCCTCCCCCCCACCGTCCGTCCGTCCCCCTCCTCGTACCGTCGTCCCCCACCGGTCCCCCGTCCTCCCGTCCCCCCCCGTGTCCGTCGCTGCCACCGTATCCGCCGTCGCGTCCCCGCCGTTCGTCCCGCCGACTCGCCGCACGTACCCGCCATCCCCGCCCCGTCCCGTCCCCCCCGACGTCACAGGTCCCGTACCCACGTAGCCACGGTACTGTCCGCCCGCGGCGTCCCGTCCCAGTGCCGTATACCCGCGATCCACCCGTGCACGTTCCCCCCCCCCACCGCCCCCCCGGCCCCCACCCCGTAAGGTCGTCCCCAGCGTCACCACCAAAGTTCCCACAACCGCCCCCCCGACCGTCGTTCCGCGGAGTCGTACCCATCCCCCACGGCGTATCGTCCCGTCCGCCCCCGTCAGCCGGCACCACACCAACGTCCGTCCCCGTCCGCGGTCCCCATCCGCCCCCCGCCGACCTCTCCGTATCGTACAGCCCACCTCCCCCCCCCCCGCCTTCCGTCCTGTCGCCCCCCCGTCAACGTCGCCCGCGTCGTCGCTCTGCCCGGGTCCCGCCCTCCCCCCGTCCGATCCTGTACCGTCTCCCCCTGTCACCCTCCCACACCCCCGTCGAGTCCCGTTCCCGGACTGTCGTCCCCCCCGTCCCCGCGTCGCCGCGCCCCCGTCCCCCCCGTCACCCCCCTCGTCCACGTTACCCCCCAGCCCCGTCGTCGGCCCGTCTCCGTCCGCCCCGCCGCCCTCCCCCTCGTCCACGCACTCACCCCCCGTCGCCCCGTCCACCGTCGGCGTCCCGTCCCGTATCGCGGCTACCCCGCGTCCCCCCACCCAACCGTCCCCCCACGGTCCGCCCGTCGCCCGTCGCCCCCAGTCACGTACCCCCCCCCCCCCGTCACCCTGTCCGCCCCGTCGCGTTAGCGTCTCCCCACCCCCCCCCGTCCCACCTAGTCCGCCCCCCCGCCCGCTATCCCCGGTCGCACCGTCCGTGTAGTCCGTCACCCCCGTCGTAACGTCCGCCCTGCGCGTCACCGTCCCCGTCTCCCCGGCAGTACCACGTCCCCCGTCCCCGCGCCCCCGTCCCCCCCCTGTATCGCCCCCCGTCCTCGCCCCCCGTCCCCCCCGCACGTACGCCCGTCCCCCCGTCCGTTTCCCGGTCCGTCGTCGTCCGTACCTGCCCGCCCCTCCCCCACTCTCGCCCCTCCCGACCGTCGCCCCCGTTCCCCCCGTCGTATCCCCTCCCCCGTGGCTCCGTCACACCCGTCTCCGTATATCCCGAGTTCCCCGTCCAAGTCGTCGGTTCCCCTCCCCCTGCACCCGTACCGTCCCCCGTGTCGTCCACCGCCTCACGCCTCAACCCGCCCACGTCCACCGTCCCCCCCCCATCCCCCACCGTACGTTCCGTACCCGTCACACCCGCCGGCCGCCCCGTCCGCTATCTGCGCCGTCCCGTATCGATCCTCCGCCCAACAGTCAAGTCCCCGTACGCGCCGGGTCTCGCCACCCCGACCCAGTTCGCCGCGCACCGCCGGCCCCCCCGTCCCGCCACCGTATCTGGTACCTACGTCCGTCCGCACGCTGTCCCGTCCACCCCCGGCCCCCCCGTGGCCGTCGTACCCCCGTCCGCGTCCAACCAGTCCCCGCCCCCGTCCCGCCCATCGTCCGTCCGCCCCCGCCGTATACGGTATTCCGTCCGTCGCCCCACCACAGCCCACCCGAGCGTCGTACCCCTAGGCGCCCAGGTCGTCGCCGTCCCATCGTCCGTCCCCCGCCCGTCCCAGCCCCGCGCCCCCCCACTGTCCCCCCAAGACACCTGCACGCCGTTGCGCGGAGCACGTCGCCCGTCACTGGCCAACGTCCGCGTCTCAGCCCCGCGTCGTCCGCCCCCCCGTACACACGCGTCCGTCGCCACGCCCGAGTATCGTCCCCGTCCGCCACGGTCCTCCGTCCGCTAAGCCGCCAGTCCCCAGCGTCACCCACGCACGTATCCACGCACGCCCGTGCGTTAGCGTCGTCCTCCCGTCCCCCGTCGCCCCCCCCCCCCCGTCGCCCATCCGTCGTCCGTCCCGGCGTCCTAGTCCCCCCGCCGTCCCCCGTGTCGCCGCGTCAGTAGCCACCCCCCCCGGACCCGCCCCACCCCGTCCCCCCCGTCCCATCGCGTCCGCGTCTCGTCGTCCCGCCCGCGCCGTCGTGTGTCCCCCACCAGTCCTGTCCCGTCCTCCCCCGTCCCTGGCGTCACCTCGCCCGTCCGGCGCGTATTCCGTATACGTTCCCCGTCCCACGTCCACTCGCCCCCGCGCAACCGACGCGTACGTTAGCACCCCGCGTCTCGTATCCGTCCCCCCGTATCCCGTCAGTACCGTCCCCCGTCTCTGAGCCAATCGCCCCGTTCCCGGCCGTATACCCGTCCCCGCCCCAGTCCGGCTGTTGATTCCCCCCCCCGAGTTCGCACCGTCACGCCGCGCTTCGTCCCCGTCCCGTCACGCACCACGCTGCGCCGCGTTCCCTACCCCCCCATCGTAAACATAACCGCCCACCCCCGTCTCCGTCAGTCCCACGCGTCCCTCCCGCCCCCGTACCGTCCCCCACGCCGCTGCACCCCGTCTCACCCCCGTTCACGCAGCGTCACGCGCCACCCGTCACCAAGTATCCCCGTTCGGTCCCGTCCGTTACCCCGCGCCTCGTCGTCCGTCGCCCCGCCAAACCGCCGTAGACTGTCCCTCGCCCCGTCCCCGTCCCGTCGTCCCGTCCGTCCGTCCCCGTATGTCCCCGCCCGTAGCCGTCGTATTTCTCCCCACCCGTCCCCCCTCCGTATCTCGTCGAGCGTCTCCGTCGTCGTCGTCCCCCCCGTCGTCCCCCCCCGTCCCCGGTCCGTCCACCCCCCGGACGTCCGCCCGTCGTCAGTCGTCCGTACCCGCCGTATCCCGTCCGGTACTAGTCGTCCCCCCCTCTCGTCCCCCGCACGTCCCCCGCCGTCAGGTCGTCCGACCCCGTCGTCACCCCCAGGTCGTACCCGTCGTCCCCCAAGCCCGTCGTACCCCGCCCGTCCCTTCGCCCCCGACGTCCGTGTCCGTGTCGTCGTCGTAGTCGCCCCCTCCCTGCCCGCCCCCCCCTGTGTGTGGTTGTGTCACTCGTCCACGTCCGTGTACCGTACGGTATCGCACGGCCGTCGTTTCCCGTCAGTACCGTCGCGGTATCCCCTGTCCACCCTCCCCCCGCGCCCTCTCCCACGTCGTATTCCGCCCCCCCCCCCCCCCAGTCCGTCCCGTCCCCTCCCCGGGCCCCCGTGCGCGTCGCGCCCGCCACCCCCCCCACCCCGGCCCCCGCAGTCAAGCGTCAGGTATCCGCTCCGTATCTCCCTGCCGCCCCGCACCCGCGTCCCGTCCGCATTCGCCGTCCCCCTGCCCCGTCCGCCGCCCCCGTCCCCCCGGCACCCCCGGGCGCCCCCGTCGACGCCCCAGTCACGGTCCCCCCAGCGCCGGTCCTGTCCGTCCCCCCACCACCCGTCCCCGTCCGTCCCCCCCTAGTCACCGTCTCGTACGTCCCGTATCCCCGCGGTACACGGTCCCCCGCGTCCCGTCGGTCCACCGCTCCGCCGTATCATCCCCCCGTACGAGCGTCCGTCGTCGTTCGCGCCCCCTGTCCCACCTGTCCCGTAACAGTCGTCCGTCCGCCCAGGCGCAGTGTGTATCGCCCTCCAGCGTCGCCCCCCGTCCGTATTCCCCACGTAAAGTCCGAGCGCCCCCGGTCCTGCCACGTGTACCCCGTACCCCGCGCTCGTTAAGTATACCCACCCCACGTCCGACCAGCTACCCCACCGCCCCCGTATCACGCGCACCCCCGGCGTATCCCCAAGCACCCCGTATACCGACCCACCCCGTAAGTCCGCCCCGTCCGTAATACCCACGCCGTACCCCGTATCGCCCGTCCCGCCCCGTCGCCAGCTCCCCGCGCCCCTGTGCGCCGTACTACCGCACCGTCCGGTGTCCCTTGTCCCCCCGCGTCCCGTCGCCCCCCAGTATCGCTTACCCGCACACGTCCCCCCCCCAGTCCGCCGTACTCGTCGGCCGGAGTCCGTTCCACGTCTTGCCCCCACCCGTGTACGCCGTCCCACCCCGTCCCCCACGCCAGTCGTCCACCCCCGCGTCGTTCGTCCTCGTGTTACCACCCGCGTACCCGTATAGTCTGCTCCCCGTATATACCCCCGCCGTAACCTCGGACCACCCCCCCCAGCGGCCCCCCCCCCCACACCCCAGTACCGTCCCCCCCCTCCCCCGCAGTCCCCCCCCACAACCCTCCTCCGTCGTATCCTCCCCCCGTCACGCCCCTGTATCGGTCGCCCGTCCACTAGTCTCCGTACCCGTCGCGTCCCGTCGTGCGCCCCACGCGAGAACCGTAGCCCCCGGTCGGTCTGGCCCCACCGGCGTCCGGTCGTCACGTCCATCCGCACGCGCCCGTGCCGACCCCCCCCCCCCGCCCCCCCCCCCGTCCCCACCGCCGCCGCGTCCGTATCGTCCGCACTGCGCGTCCACCGTCCCCCTGCCCCCCCGCCCCCCCCCCGTCGCCCCCCGCGCCCCACCCCCCCCACCGTGTGTCGCCGCCCCCCGTACACGTCGTCCCCGCCGACTCACGTATAGCCCCGTATCCCCCAGTCGTATCGCCCCCGGATCCGTCCTCCCGCGTATCCCCCCTGGTATCCCCGTCCGCCGTTCCCGCCGCGCCCCGTCCCGTCCAGTCGTCATTCCGCCCCCGTCCGTCCCCCCCGCCACCGCCCCCCCGTGTCCTGTCCCCGTCGTCGTAAGGCGTCCCGTGCACCCGCCCGCTCCGCACAGTCGTCCCGTTATCAGCCGTTCGTCAGGCCGACCGTATCCAACCACCGTCCAGTTATGCGTCCCCGGTCCGTCCACGCCACCCGCCGTACCCCGAGTCCGCGTATCGACCGCGCCCCCCCCACCCGTCCGTTACCCGCGCCCCCCAGTAAAACCCCCCACCCAGCACGTCGCCGTCACTGTCCCCCTGTCCGACCCAGTTACACCAACACCGCCGGTTATACACGTCGGTAACCAACAACCGCATACGGTCGCCACACGTCCCCCCGTCCCCAGTCCCACAGTACCCCCGAGCCACGTACGTCCCACCCAGTCCCGTTCGTCCCCCCACCCCGTACCCCCACCCTTCCGAAGCACGTCCGTCGTATACGGACCGTCAGTCCCGTCGTCCCACCCGCCCCCCCGCCGTCCCCGCGTATCGTCCGTCTACGTGCGCGTCCAGCCGTCCACGTTATACTAAGCGTCCCCCGCCGCACCCGGTCCGTCCCGGCAGTCCCCCCAGTAGCGCCGTCCGTCCCCCCCCGCCGTCCCCCCGTTCCCCGTCGCGGCGTGCCCTCCGTCCCGTACGGTACCCGCCGTCGCGCGTCGCAGCCCCGCCGTGTATTTCGTACGTCCCCCCACCGTCCCCCCCACGTACCCCACCTCCCCCGTATACCCCGTTCGCCACCGTCCCCGTCGCCGTCCGCCCCCCCGTCGGTCCACCCGCAGCGTCCCGACGCCCCCCCCCGTACCGTCCCCCCGTATGTAACCCCCCGCCGACCCCCCAACGTCGTCCGCCCGTTCATGTCCGTCCGTCGTCCGTCGTCCACGCGTCGTCCCACCCGTTTCCGTATCCGTCCCCGCCCCCCCCACCGCGTCCGTCCCACTGCCCCCCCCGTACCCCCCCCGCGTCTGCCGTTTCGTCGTCCCGCCGTACCCCCCCCAGTCGTACCCGCACGTCCGTCCGCCGCACCCGCCCGTCCCCGCACCCGCCGTCACGTATCCCCCCCCCGCCCGTCCCCGCTTCCCCGCCCGCACGTCCCCACCCCGTCCCCCCGCGCGTCCCCCCCGTCAGTCGCGACCCACTGACCTGCATCGTACCACCCGTGGATCCCCCCCGCACCCACGCCGCCCCCCCTGTCGACCCCCCGTATCGTCCAAGTCCACCGGTCGTCCCCGTCGCGTCAACCCGACCGTTTCAGTCCCCCCACCGACCGTCGTACCCCAGGACCCCTCCCCCACCCCCTCCACGCCAAACGCCCAGTAACCAGCGTCTCCCCCCCGAATGTCGTCCCCGGCTTATCCCAAACGCCCCGCGCCCCCCTCGTCCAGATTTTTATACCGTACGTCCCCCCGCCCGTTGCCGTCCCCGGCCCCTCCCCCGTCCGCGCACCGCCACCACACTCCCGTTACCGTATATCCTCCGTACCCCTCCAGCCCGAAGTCCGCCCCTCCGTCCGTCCCCCCGCCCCCCTGCGCGGCCCCCCCAGTCCCCGCCGCCCAGTCCGCACGTCCACCGCCTCCCGTCCGTATCCCCCCCCACCCGCCCACCCCCACAGTATGAACCGTGCGCCCCGTCGGCCCGCCGCCCGTACACCCCCGCCTCGTCCCCGTCCCCCCGCGCGTCCCAGTCGTCCCCCCGTCCCGTATCACCCCGGCCCCCCCGTGCACGCCGCCCATCGCACCCCCGTCCCCCGCCCGCGTACGGTCGCCCCCCCCACGTCACCCCTACCGGTCACCCCCCCCCAGCCCCCGTATCAGTCCGTCGTATCCCCGCCCGTCATTCCCCCCCCCGCGCCCCCGCCCCGGTCGTCGCCGCCGTCTATTGCCGGGACCCGTGCCCCGTCACCGTATCCCGTCCCGCAACCCCGCCCCGCCGTCCTCCCAACCGTCCGTTCCCGTCCGTCCGTCGTCCGTGTCCCGTTACGTCGCGACGTATACGTCCCCCGACACAGCGCCACGTCCGCGTCACCGTCCGTCACCCCCCCCGTCCCCGCACGGTACGCCGTCGCCCATCCCCCCGTCCCCTCCTCCGTCCGTATATCCGTCAACACCAGCGTCCTACCGTACGCGCCGCCGTCGCCCCCCGACACCGGTCCCCGCGTCCGCCCCCCCCGCGGAAGTCCCCCCCATCCCCCCATCGGCCCGTCCCACGTCCGTCCGCCACGCGCCCCCCGCCCCCCCCCCCCCGCCCCGTCCGTCGTCCGCGTCCCCCAGTCCCGTCTGCGCCCCCCGCCCACGTATCACCCGCCGCCGTCGCCCGTCTGCGCCCCCCGGTCGACCGCCGCTCCCGTCCGTAGTCGTCCCTCCCGTCTCGCCCCCCCGTTACCCGTCAGCCCCCCCCCCCGCCGCCTCCGTCCCCCCCCGCGTCGGTCTCCCACCCCCCCTGTACCCGTCCACACCCCCCACGTCCCCGTCCGTATCCCCGTCGCCCTGTCTTCGCGTATCGTCCCCCCCCCCCCCGACGCCCGCCCGACGTCTCGCCCCGCCCCTAAGTATCCGCCCCCGTTCTCCTTTCCCCACCCAGGGGCATGACCGTCCGCGTATGTACGCACGTATTCGCCCCCCCCCAGTATCCGCCCGCGGGTATCCCCCCGTCGCGTCCACGCCCCCCCGCTCCGAGTCACGGAGCCCGTCGTCCCGCCCTCGTCGCCAGCCCGCAACCGCAGGCCCCTGTCAGTCAGTCCCGTCCCGCGCATGACGTACCCCGGGCCGCCGTATCGTCCCGTATCGGACGCGTAAGCCCGTAGTCAAGTCCCCGGCGTCGTGCGCACCCGTCCAGTCGCCCTCCGTACGTCCACCACTATCACTCCCCCCACAGTGGTCGGCAAGTCCGTCACCCAAAGTATCCCCCACCGCGTTCACGTCGTCCCCCCCGTACACACGGTCTATCCGGCGTACCCCGTCCCCTCCCCCGTATGTCGCCCAGTCGTAGCCACTCGTTAGTCCACGTATCCCAGTCGTCCCGTCCGCGTCCCCCCCCGTCGGCCCGCCGTATCACGTCCGAGCGTATCGTCAGTCCGTCCGCCCCCACGTATCTACAGTCCCTGATACGTCCGTCCGTCGTCGGCCCCCGCCCGCCTCCGCGTCCCCCCCGCGATCCCAGGTCCCCTCCGCGACTCCCACCGGCCGTACAGGCGCCTGTCCGTTCCCGTCCTCGTCCGCGTCCGCGTCCCCCACGTCGTGTTCTGCGCCTGCCGGCCCGCCGGTCCCGTACCCGCCCCAAACGCCGTACCCCACTAGTCCCACGTCGTCCCCTCGGCGTCCGCTGGTCCCGCCGCGCGTCCCTTCCCCCCACCCCGCTCCCGCGCCCCGCCGACCGCGCCGTCAGTCCGCCCGCCGGCCTCCCCCCCCCGCCGCCCCCGGTACGTTCGTCCCGTTCGCCCCCACGCCCTGGAGTTCTCCGTAGCGTCGTCCGTAGTCGTAATCCCTCCCGTCCCTCCCCGTCCCCCCCACCCGTATCGCCCCGCGTCACCCCAGTCACCGTCCGTCCCTACCCGTACACGCGTCACGGCCGTCCTCCGTACGTCCCCCGTTCGCCGTCCGAAGTCCCCTGCGAGCCGTCGCGTCCCGCTGTCCCCGCCCCGTATGCCCCGTCCCTCGTCGTCCGTCTAACCCCCGTCCCGCCCGCACGCCGTCCCCCCCCCGGTCGCCGTCCCACCCGTACACCCACCCCCCCGCCCCACACCCCGTCCCCGCCCCCGTCCGTCCTGTCCCCGTCCCCCCGCCACCGCGTCCCCCCCGGTATCCCCGTACCCCCCCCCCGTCCGCCGTTCCCCACCGGTCTGCCCCGTCGTCCCCCCGCCCCGTCGCCCGTCCTGCGGTCGCGGCCCGTACGGTCACCCACGTCCCCGTCCCCCCCCTCGTCCCCGTACCCCCCGCCGTCCCGTCCCCGTCGTTCCGTCGCGCAGTATCCCCGTCCCCCCACCGTTGACGCCTCCCCCGCGCTCTCCGAGCACGACGTCCCGTTCGCCCACGTCCCCCCCCCCGTCCTCGTCACCCCCGTCCCCCCCCCCCGCACCCCCGCCCGTGCCCATACCACCGTAGGCGACGTCATCACCTCCGCACCGGCCGCCCACAAGCCTCCCCGCCCAGCCCCCGTCTCGCGTCGGCGGTCCGCCACGGTCCCCCACGTCCTCCGTATAGGCAGCCCGTCTGTCCCCAGTCGTCCAAGCCCGATAGCCCACCTGACGCTCGTCGGCCGGTATCCACACGTATCCCCCCCCCCCAGTCGTCGACGTCGCTGCTACCGTTTTCCGTTCGTCCGCGTCGCCGTCCGCGTCGTCTCCCCCCCCCCTCTCGCACCCTCGCAGACCCGTCTCCCCGTATCCCTCCCCCCGCCACCGTATCGGCCCCGTCAGTCCCCGTCCCCCTCCGTCGCGCCCGTATCCACCGTTTCCCTGTCCCACCCGTCCACCGTCACCGCACCCCTCCCCACGTCCGTCCCCACGCCCCGATGTCGTCCCCGACGAAGTCCCCCCCCGCTACCCACGACCGTCGCGTGTCGTACCAGTCCCCCGCCCGGGCCCGACGTTCCCGACTCCCCCTCCCACCACCCGTCCCCCGTATCGTCCGTCCGCTTTCGTCCCCGTCGCGTACCCGTCCGTAGCGTCGCCCCCCGTCCGCCCCGCCTCGTACCCCGCTCCGCTCCCCCCCCGTCCCCCGTCGTCCAACGCGTGGCGTATCCGGGGCCACCTCTCACACGAGTACCCCTCCGTATCGTACCCCACGTCCCGTATCTGCCGCCACCCCCACCGCCCGCTGCCCCCGTCGTCCAGTCGACGGTAAAGTCCCCCCCGCCCGCCCCGAACCTCCGTCCCGTCCCAGTACCGCCGCGTCGTATACCCGTCGCCCCAGTCCACGTAAACGGTACCGTATACACGTCCTAGTCCGTCAGCCCAGTCCCACACGCGCGTCCGGAGTTTTACCCCCGTCCACCAGCGCCGTCCAGTCGTCCATCCGTGGTCCCCCCCCTCCCGCCGTACTCCGCGGAAGTACGGTACGTTTACCACCCCCTCCTGCCCCCGTGTCGCCAGCAGCCCGTCCGTCCCGCCGCGCCTCCCCCCGCACCCGTCCAGAGTATCCCGTAGCCGTCAAATCCCCCCCCGTATCGCCCGTTCCCGCCGTCCGACGGGTCTCGTCCCCGCCCCTCGCGGCCCGGTACCCCCGTCCGGTCCCCCCGTCGTCCCCCCCCCTCGTCGTCGGCCCGTCCGCGTACCTTCCCCGCACCGGTTCGTACCCTCGTCCGACGTACGCCAGCCCCCGTACCCCAGTCGTACCCCCCGCCCCCAGCCCCCGTTTTCCACCGCGCCCCCCAGGTCCCGTCCGTTGGTCCGGCTGGTCCCACGTCTCCCGGCCCCACACGAAGCGCCGTAGTCCCGTCCCCAGTCGGTCGTAACCCCCGGCGCCACCAGTTATCCGTCGACCCCCGCGACGCGTCCGCGTCCCCGACCGGTCCCGTACGTCCCCCCTGTCCTCGTCCCCGCCGCGCGTAGGAACGTCCCCAACCCCCGCAATGCCCCCAGTGTATCCCCGTCCATCCAGTATCCCCACCCGCCCCCGCGTCCCCCCGCCCCCCGTCCCGCCCCCCCCCCGTCGTCACCAACTTCCCGTCCCCCCGTCCCGTCCCGCCGAGGCCCCCCACCCCCGGTACCTCCCCCCCACGTAAAACGCGTACCCGTCTAGGTCGTTCCCCACACCAGTACGTCCCCGAGCCCCCCCCCGTCCCGCCCCCCTCCCCCCCCGCGCGTTCGCGTCAGGCTCCGTACCCCCCGCCCCCCCCGTCGTACCCCCCCCCGTCGCCACCCCGTCCACACCCCGTGTTCCCTGGTCACACTCTACCGCCGCGTCGTCCCCCCCGTCCCCGTTAGCGTTGCGGCCCCCCACCCCGTCGTCCCACCCCCGCGGTCCCCGTCAGTCATGCGTCACGACGCCGTTCCCGTATAAGGCCGCCTCCCCCCCGCGTCCCGTTGTCCAGTACCCGCGTCGGTCAACCGTCCCCGCGCCCCACTAGGTCCCGTATCCCGTACCAGCCGACGTACCGAGTCAACACCCCCCCACGCTCCCCCCCCCACGCGGCCCCCCACCATACCGCGAGTCCGTTCGTTACCGCAACCGCCAGCCCGTCACCGTCCGGTTCCCGTCCGGTATTATCCCCGTCCGCCGTCCCCGTCCCCCCGTTACCAACCGACGTCACGTCGCGTCCCGCCGCCGGTCCGCCGGTCACCTTCCGCAGTTTCAGTACCCCCCTAGCGTACCCCCCCCGCCACGACGCCCACGTCACCGTATCCGTAGCGGCTGCCCGCCCGTACCCGTAGCGTCGGCCACGCCCGTCCGTAACGGCCAGTGTGTTCCATCCCACGCCCGAACGTCGTCTCCCCCCCCCTCCCCGACGTACGCGTCCCGAATCGACGTCCCCGCCCCCCGCCGGGCGTACGCCCCCCCCCCCACCGTCGCCGTCCACGTCCTGCCGCCCGCCCCGTCCCCGCCCCCTGCCCCGTCCTCGTCGTATATCCGCGTCGGTCCGTCTCTAACGTCCCGCTGGTCCCAGTACCCCCACGTCGTCCGTCCCGTCCGTCCCCCCCCCCGCCGTCCGTCCGTCACCCAGCGCGCGTCCAGATTCCCGCCCCGCTCCGCCCGCCGCCCCCCCCCAGTACGCGCCCCCCGCCCGTACGGTACGTAATCCCCCCCACCCCACCCGCTACGTCCGTACGTCCGCCCTGACACCCCCACCCCCGTCGTCGTTCCCCCCTACTACTCCCCGTCGTCCGTCCGAGCACCCCGTATTCGCCCGTCCTCGCCCCCCGCGTTCCCGTCCCGCGTTGCCCCCCCCCGCGTCCTCACGTCCCGGCCCCCGCCCCCCGCGGCCGCCCACCCCCCGTCGTCCCCGCGCCACGTCGCCGGTCCGCCCCCCGCCCGTATCGCCCCTGACTCGTGCCCCCCGACCGTCACCCGTCCCCCGCCCCCCGAACCGCCACCGCGTCAGCCCACCCGCCCCAGTCCCCCCGAAGTAGTCGTTCCCCGCCGCCCCCCCCCGTCCGTCGCAGGTATCGTGCCGCGAGTCCCCTCGTCCTACCACACGGTCGTCCACGTGTCGCGCCGCAGCCCCGTCGGCCACCGTTACGCCGCGTATACCCCACCAGTAGTATCTGGAGTATCCCAGTATCCTCCCCCCTCCGAGCCCCCCGTACCGTCCGTCACGTCCCGTTTCACCCCCCCGTCGCACGTCAGTCGTCCCCGTACGCCCGGGCCCCAGCCGCCCCCGTCGTTCCACGTACACCCCGGTCGTCGTCGTCGCCGTCCGTAGTCCCCCCGTCCTCGTCGTCCCCCCGTCCGTCTCGCACCCCCCTGTCCGCGTCCCCCCGTCCACGTATCCCCACCCGTCCCCCCCACCCACCCGTCAGTACGTTTAGTATTCCCCCACCCGTCCCGACCACCCGCGACCCCAGTCGCCCGCCCCCCCCCCCCCCCCACACCCCGTCCCCCCCCCCGTATCCGTCCCCACCACACCGTCCCCCGTCCCGTATCCCGTCCTCCCCCACGCCCCCAAAACGTACCTGCGCCGCCGTATAACTCCGTCCCGGCCGACCCAGTCGTCCGGGTACCCCCCCGGCGTCGGAGTCCGTCAGGTCGTGTGTCGTGTCCAAGTCCCCGGTCCGTTCTCCCGCCCGCCCGCGCACCCGTATTCCCCCCCCACTGTACCACGTCGCGCTCGTCCCTCTCGTCCCACCCCCGGTCGCGGTCCCCTGCTCCGTCTGTCCCCCCCCCCGCCCCCCCCGCCCCCTCGTCCCCCCCCCCCCACCCCACCCGTGTCCCCGTCCCCGTCCCGCCTCCCCGTCCCCTCGTACCGTCCCGCCCCCCACGAACCCGCGTCACGTTCCGTTCGGTCGTATATCTCGGCCCCGTATCCAGCCCGGCCCCCGCGCCCCCCCCAGCCCCAGACCCCACCTTCGTCCGCTCCGTCGTCGGTCCCCCCCGCGTCCCCCCCCCCGTATCGTCGGCAACGTCGCCCCACCCGCCCGTATCCAGTCGCCGTACCGTACGCCCCGTACCGTCCCGCCCGTCGGCGCGTCCCCCGTCACCCCCCGCGTCGTCCCCCACGCCACACCCGGGGTCGTCCCGTCGTCCCGCGCCGCCTACCGCCTCCTAGTCGTACTGACGGTATCGTCCACGGTCCACCACCCACCCCGTCCTCCGTCCACCCCGCCCCGTACCCCCCCCCGTCGCGTACCGGTCCGTCCCCCGCCCCGTACCGTCGTCTCCCCACCGTACCCTCCTGGCCCCGGATGTCACCAGCGTCCCGTCCTCCCGTCTCCCGTCCCCCCCTGCAGCCCCGCACGTCCCGGTCCCGCGCCCCGTACCCCTCGTCCCCGCGTCCCGTCCCCCGTTCTCGTCCCCCACCGTACCACCCGTCCCATCGTCCCCAGTACCCCGGCGTCCTAATTCCGCCACCCCGCACGCCAGCCGTAGCCGCGCGTTCCCCCTCGCCACGTCCGTCACCCCTCCCACCCGCCCGTCCGCTGCCGCGTGGCCGTCGCTCCCGCACCTGCCCCCGTCGTCCCTCCCCCCCCACCCCGCCCGCCCCGCGCCCACCCCCCTGGCCCCGTTGACGTATCCCCCGTTCGCGTCCGCACGCCCCGTCCCCTTCCGCGTCCCCGTACCGTCCGTATTACCCCACGTCCCCCGTACCCGCCCTCGTCCGCCCCCCCCCCCTCGCCCCCGCCCCGTCCCCCCTGTCCCGGCGGAGTCACCCCGTCTCGTACTGCCTATGCCGCACGTCCCCGTATACGTCCCCCCGTCCCCCGCCGCCGTTCCGTCCGTATCGACCCGTATCGTCACCCGTCCCCCCCCCCCGCGTACGTCCGCGTCGTCCGCGCGCCTCCCCCGCATGTATCCCCGTCGGCGTTACATCGGTCGCCACGTATCCCCCCGCCCAACCGTCGTCACCGTCCCCCCCCGCGCGTATATCCGCGTCGGCGCGTCCCCCCGCGTCCCCGTCCCCCCGCGCCCGTCCGTCCCATGAGTCCCGTACCCCCCCCCCGTCCGTCGTCCCTGTGGTCCGTATCCCGGATCCACGTCCCCCCGTAACCCCGTCGTATCCCCCGGCCGGTTCCCCCCGTACGTCGGTATCGGTCGTCCCGTCCGCGTCGTCCCCCCCCCCCACGTCGTATCCCCTGTATCCCCGCGTATCCGTCTGTCCCCCCCCGCGTCGTATCGTCGTCCGGTACGTATCCCCGAAAGTTTCGTCACCCCCCGTTATCGTCGTCAACCGCCGTTCGCTGTCGTCCCCCCGTCCGTCCCCGTATCACCTCCCCTCGCCGTATCCGTATGGCCGTCCCGTACCCCGTCCCCGTATAACGCCCCGTCCCCCCCCCCCCCCCACCACCCCCACGCGTCTCCACCCCGTCCAGTCCGCCCGTCGCCGCTCCGCGCCGTCGTCCGAACGTCGCCCAGTCCCTCGCGCCCGCCACTCGCGTCAGTACCCGGCCACGCGCGCCGGTGTCCACGGCGATCGCCTGGCCGACGTGTCCCCTGTCGCAGCGTCGTCGTCCCCGTCCGGTCTCCGACCTGTCGTCGTATCCGTCCCCCGTACCGGGCCCAGCCCACCGTTCCGCGTCACCGGTCCGTTCGTCCGCGCTGTCCGCGCTGCCGCCCGCGTACCCTCCCCCCCCCCCCCGCCCGTACCGTACGTCCCCGCGTCCCCCCGTACCGTCCCCCGTCCGCCCCCACGTCCACCCGTATCCGCCACCCTCGGCTCCCCGTCGTCACGTAGTATCCGCGTCCCCGTGTACCCGTATCCGTCCCCCGTCGCGGCCGAGTCCCGTGCCCGTCAGTCGTCCCCGGTCCCGTATCCGCGTCCGTCCAACCCCCGTATACGTCCCCGTACCCGCGCGTCCTCCACCCCCGTCCCGTCGTCCGTATCACCCCGTACCGTATCGTCGCCTCGTCCCGTCCCCCCGCGCGTCGTCCGTCCGTCGAACCCGTCCCCGTCACATGCGAGCGTATACGTCCAACGTCGGTCGTACCTTATCCCCCCGAGTCCCCCCCCTCCCTCGTCGTCGTCCCCCCCCGTCGTCGCGGATAGTCCCGTCCGCCCCCGCCAGTCGTACCCGTATCCCCCCGTCCCCCGTTCTCACCCACCACCCTGTCCGCCCGTCGACGCCGTCCCCCTCCGTATCCCCCGCGTATCCGCCACCCACCTGGATCGCAAGTCCGGCTATCGTCCGCCCGCTCAGCCACGTGCCGCGCAGTCGTTCCGTCCCCCCCCCCGTCCCGGTCCCGCCCGTCTCCCGTATCGTCACGTCCCGCGTCCGTCCCCCCCCCCCCGCCCCGCCCCCCCACGGCCGCACGTCGCGCCCGTCGTCGTCCCCCGTTCCCCCCGTCCCCACCTCCCCGTGTACCGTCCCCCGTCCCCACCCCCGCCACCGTCCCCCTTCGTCCCCCCGCGTCGCACCCCCGTCCCGCGTCCGTCCTCCGCCCCCGCCCGCCGTCCGCGGCCGCAGGTCCAGTTATAACCGTTGCCAGTCCCGTCGTCCTCCCCCCGCCCCGTATAGTCCGTCCCCCACCCCGCCCCCGTCTGTACCCTATTTGATCATTTTGAGCCAATAAAATTTTTTTAGAATTTTGCTAATTAGTTAATTGATAATTATCCAATTAACTTATTATCTGACGTAAAAATTGTTTGAATAAAAGTTTTTCTTCCTGATAATATGAACACACTCGATTGATCCGCAACCTTTTACGATGTTCACAACTAAAGATATTCGACAAACAAGAAAGGTGGTAAAAAGTGGTAAAGTGGCAAAAAGTGGCCTTACGACACGTGGAAAAGTTTGGAAAAGTTGGTCAGCCATAAAGGACATCTATTAGGACTCAAAAACGTCAAAAGTCCTTTGTAAGCTTTGCGTGTCAGCAGATCGATTTTTTCAGACGGATCTGTCTGTACTATTAGTGCAACAAATTAACCTAATGTTCCTTGCTCGAATGGGAGATTTTCCACCAAATCCGATACCTGAAATGAATTTATGAGCCGTAGAAATATTTATTGACCATAATTGACTTTCACGATCAGAAGCAACAAAGTATAACTTCTTTTCCACTAACCTGCAGATCCGCCCCATTGTGATGTACCTACACTTAGTAACTTACCTGCAGATCCGCCCCATTGTGATGTATACACTTAGCAACTAACCTGCAGATCCGCCCCATTGTGATGTATACCCTTAGTAACTAACCTGCAGATCAGCCCCATTGTGATGTGTACCCTTAGTAACTAACCTGCAGATCCGCCCCATTGTGATGTATACCCTTAGTAACTAACCTGCAGATCCGCCCCATTGTGATGTATACCCTGGCCTTAGTTACTAACCTGCAGATCCGCAGTCCGCACCATTGTGATATATATATCCTTAGTAACTAACCTGCAGATCCGCCCCATTGTGATGTATACCCTTAGTAACTAACCTAAAGATCCGCCCCATTGTGATGTATACACTTAGTAACTAACCTAAAGATCCGCCCCATTGTGATGTATACACTTAGTAACTAACCTGCAGATCCGCCCCATTGTGATGTATAGTGTATACCCTTAGTAACTAACCTGCAGATCCGCACCATTGTGATGTATACCCTGGCCTTAGTTACTAACCTGCAGATCCGCCCCATTGTGATGTATACCCTTAGTAACTAACCTGCAGATCCGCCCCATTGTGATGTATACCCTTAGTAACTAACCTGCAGATCCGCCCCATTGTGATGTATACCCTTAGTAACTAACCTAAAGATCCGCCCCATTGTGATGTATACCCTTAGTAACTAACCTGCAGATCCGCACCATTGTGATGTATACCCTTAGTAACTAACCTGCAGATCCGCCCCATTGTGATGTATACCCTTAGTAACTAACCTGCAGATCCGCCCCATTTTGATGTATACCCTTAGTAACTAACCTGCAGATCCGCACCATTGTGATGTATACCCTTAGTAACTAACCTGCAGATCCGCCCCATTGTGATGTATGCCCTTAGTAACTAACCTGCAGATCCGCCCCATTGTGATGTATACCCTTAGTAGGGGAACATCTATTTTGGACGCTTTCAGCTCTTCCTTCCATTGTGCAGTGTCCGGATGAGAAGATGGTTTGAGATGTGATAACAGGGGAAGACTCACTCGTAGTCAAGGATGCCAAGGTAGGGGTTGAACACTGTCCATAAAGCTGAAACTAAAACATTTTGCTGTATTTGTGCCCTGTTTGGATTATATAAATACGAGTGTCATAAGTATAAGTCTTGTGCATATTACAACTTACAAGTGTTATAAGTTTTGTCAGTTTGCCTGAAAGCTTCTAATTCAAATTTTAATTAGGATGTTCTAGGGAGAAAAGGAATGAGAACTAAAATGTTTTTAGCAATTTGCGGGCAGAAGGATATTGAATACTAAATTCAATGAATTTGGTGAGTATTCCCGTGATCACCTGAAATCAGCTCAAAAGGTTAATTACCGGTTTTAATTTGTTGGTCAACTTTTATCTTGAAATGAACTAACACGTCCTAAACTATGAAAAATCACTTACCGTGTCATTTAAACTGTGTATGGCGAAGATGGATAAAATACCAAGAATACCCAACAGTCCTATCTTCCTTAATGTACAAATCCTCATACTCATTACTCAATACTCATGTGACACCAGTGACCCTAAATGAAAATTTGGAACAGTCAGTTTCAATTAATTCAATGCTGATAACTCAGAATTATACGAAACGAAACGAAACACTTTATTTACTACCCCGCTACTATGCGACAAAGATATTGTATAATATATAGCTAAATAATTAAATAATTACAAAATAAAAGCAGTAAGAAACGAGCATGCAATGCTCGTTGTATTCTACCATTCTAGTGATCTTGAAATGGTTCTCATTATAACGCAGGACCCTTAAAAGGAATTTACTAATTTTATCTCAAAGTCAACAGTGAATTGGTATTTAAGGAAGGAGTTAATTTCACCAGCTCCATAAGTATCCTTAATTTTGGTTTCGTTATTTTCTTTATCATTTCAGTGCCTTCCTTTCTCCTTTTTTAATAAGCAGTCCTGTATAACATATATAATATAACTACGTCTGTTTGAAGCTGATGATTGTTTTGACATTATGTTTCTACTCGCTAATAATTGATAATCGATGCCGCACACAAAAATCATGGCATTGATTAACTCCAAGTGTGCTACTAAACGCACACTCAACATGTTTCAATACCTCCCTCCAGGCACACTTTACAATTAAAATTACTGCTGGAACGAAGGAACATGGACTGCAACCCAGGAATCAACTACCTACTAAGCTGCCATGAACGCTTAACATTGATAATTGGTTTGGTATCGGAGTTACAATTTTCTCATTTCCAACCTTTGAGCTAATGAATAACCTTACGTCATTATTTTTTATTTTTACAAAACTTGAGGACAATTTATAATTTTGAAGCATGTAGGACACACAGCGGTCGGGCGCCAAAAAACTGTAGGGGGGCCAAAATACCTTTAAACCTTTAACGTTATACCACCATATTGCGGGTAAAACCTATATTTACAGTTATGCACTCAAAGCTGAGTCGGATTTCCAGGGGACGAGATAGGGGACGGGACACAAACGCAAATGTAAAAACAAAATATCCCTAACAACACGTACAACATGACGTAGGATGAGTTAGTCTTTATTATGATATGATCGGCAATACTGCAGTACCTAATAAAGCAATGAAAGGCATTAGTTTGGTCAAATCAAACGGAACATATGCTATCAGACTTTTAACTGACTAAGGCAGGGTTAAGACAATCTCGACGCTAGCAACGATCCCCTTTTACATAGTTCCACTAAAATGATAATTTAAGATTAAATATGTATAGTAATAGGTAAATAAAGTAAAAATGTAATAAAACGGTAGGGATAAAGTATATTGAAACGTAGTCAACACGTCATAAAACGAACTGGCCCAATAATTAAACTAATAGATCTCCCGCGTAATCTCCCGCGCAATTCTAAGACTCCGATTTGCGCCGTTGCAAAGTTATTATAAAACTAAATTCAACACGTGCAACAAATATATCGCAACAATAGAAATAGATGCCATTAGGTCAAGCTATGGCATTATAGAGTTACAGGATGGTTCAAAGTTGCAAATACGATTAAGTTAATCGTCACTGATCATGGTTGCTCGATCCGATCACTGTGGGAGTACCCCGGATCTCAGGGGCCTTACACTTTAGCAATTAGTGAACAACTGCAGTGGCATAACAAAGGATCGGCCGCTATTCGGCCGCTATTCGGGGGGGGGGGGGGGGGGCATCAGAGGGGGTCTCTTTTTTCTCGAAGTGTAGGTCTGTTTGTAAAATTGTGCACAAATTTGGGATAAATTTAAAATTTCGAAGTATGTAGGACACACAGCAGCCGATATCAGAAGAGTGAAAAAATATATTTCAACTAAATGGGACAGACATTTATATTGTCTCACGAATTATCACACGAATCTCGAATTTACACTCAAAGCCGAGTTGGATAATTTCCCGATACGGGATTGGGGAGGCAACACAAACACGAATGTAAAAACACAGTAACACTAACAACACAAATATTGAGGGGTTGTGTGTACACCTTCGTATATCAGGATAAGTGCGGTAATTGTACTCCAGTAACGCTAATAGAATTACAGTATAAGGGCCAACTCCAACGTTACAAATACCATCACTTAAAATTCAATAAAAGTGTAGATCAGAACATTCCTGCATCCGGGGTAGTACGGGGCATTTCAACTTCCTTTTACAACTATCTTATCTCACGTTACTTGAGCGGAGATTGCGTGAATAGACATAGTTCTGATTGATCATCGAAGGAGTTTCAAAGACCTTAAAAATCCGTAGATTTTCATTTTTGGCGATCGTTTTCGAATGAACGAGGAAGCCGAAGAAAGTGTTGCCATAATGAGATTTTATTTTAGCCACAACTTGTTACTTATTTAACATTTTTATAGTAGCTTGTTTCTTTTGATCCGATGATATTATTATATTCTGATAATAGGTTTGTAGTAGAATTTGGAGAAAAATATGAACGGTAAGGTTTTCAGCGTCCAGACAAGAGACAAAATGGAAATGTTTCTCTTTGAAGACAAAGAAATAAGATATAAAACAAACAAGAAATGGAATATCATTATCAAAATATCATTATTAAATGGAATATTAACTTAACACAAAGTATTTTAGCGTGCACAAGACACACATTGCTACACGTTGTATACCTAATCTCTCGTGCAAGCGAAGCGTGCACTCCGGCGTGCACTCCGGCCAGCAGGTTTCAACGTGTGTTAAGACAAACATAGAATTAGATCGTGTACCCCCGGTAAAGTTCACGCTTACAATAGTCACAGTTACAATAGTAACAGTTACCTGGGGACCTCAGGGTATTATGTTCATAAATAGAGATTCGGCGGAATGACAGGCTGAGCGCGGCCCAGTAATTATATAATAGTAACAGTTATAAGATATTCAATAAATCAATGAACCGCGTGACACGCGGTTCATTGATTTATTGATTTATTGATTTATTGATTTATTGATTTATTGATTTATTGATTTATTGATTTATTGATTTATTGATTTATTGATTTATTGATTTATTGATTTATTGATTTATTGATTTATTGATTTATTGATTTATTGATTTATTGATTTATTGATTTATTGATTTATTGATTTATTGATTTATTGATTTATTGATTTATTGATTTATTGATTTATTGATTTATTGATTTATTGATTTATTGATTTATTGATTTATTGATTTATTGATTTATTGATTTATTGATTTATTGATTTATTGATTTATTGATTTATTGATTTATTGATTTATTGATTTATTGATTTATTGATTTATTGATTTATTGATTTATTGATTTATTGATTTATTGATTTATTGATTTATTGATTTATTGATTTATTGATTTATTGATTTATTGATTTATTGATTTATTGATTTATTGATTTATTGATTTATTGATTTATTGATTTATTGATTTATTGATTTATTGATTTATTGATTTATTGATTTATTGATTTATTGATTTATTGATTTATTGATTTATTGATTTATTGATTTATTGATTTATTGATTTATTGATTTATTGATTTATTGATTTATTGATTTATTGATTTATTGATTTATTGATTTATTGATTTATTGATTTATTGATTTATTGATTTATTGATTTATTGATTTATTGATTTATTGATTTATTGATTTATTGATTTATTGATTTATTGATTTATTGATTTATTGATTTATTGATTTATTGATTTATTGATTTATTGATTTATTGATTTATTGATTTATTGATTTATTGATTTATTGATTTATTGATTTATTGATTTATTGATTTATTGATTTATTGATTTATTGATTTATTGATTTATTGATTTATTGATTTATTGATTTATTGATTTATTGATTTATTGATTTATTGATTTATTGATTTATTGATTTATTGATTTATTGATTTATTGATTTATTGATTTATTGATTTATTGATTTATTGATTTATTGATTTATTGATTTATTGATTTATTGATTTATTGATTTATTGATTTATTGATTTATTGATTTATTGATTTATTGATTTATTGATTTATTGATTTATTGATTTATTGATTTATTGATTTATTGATTTATTGATTTATTGATTTATTGATTTATTGATTTATTGATTTATTGATTTATTGATTTATTGAATAATATATTGTCATATATTGCTTTGTTTATTTTTTGGTGATGTGAAGATGTCAGGCGAAACAAATATTTAATAGATGACAAAACATTTTAGGGGTCTAATTGGGTATTTCGTCATCAGTCATGCGTTAAGATATAAAGTTAAAGCTTATGACGATCCTGTAAAAATGATTTCAAAATATTTGATATTTTAGAAGTTTTTGCATTTTAATGACTGGAATTCGATTCCTAAGCTAGTATTGAACAATAAGGAACAAAGGAAACAGGTGAATCGTAGAATAAATCTCGAAAGTAAAAGATTACTCAATAATCCGTTAGCTTATTCTTGAGTAGCGGTTAACTTTTAACACATCACCAAAGTTGCTACTCAAAGAACTGCTTGGTAATATAAAATATGCATTTATAAACCTTGCTATAGTGAAAATTAATTTACTCGAAATTGTGATCTACGTCCAGCTGGCAGTGGAAAATAACAATGACAATGATTATAAAAGAGCGCCGCGCTGTATTGTAATTCTTGTTAATGTTAATTAGGCATCAAACGTTGTCTTTTTAATAATATTCTAACTTGTACACGTTTATAACTTGAATCCCATGACTCTCGTAATTTCAATCATGGTTCTATACTTCTATAGGCTTCTCTCCAAGAAAATAACAATAGCATTATACATTTTCTAATCGAATTACTACAAAACAGCGCACTAAAAGTTTTACCTGGGGACCCCATGCGGCAAGTTTCCATAACTAATTTTTTGTGATCAGCGGTAATAACCGCTTTTTTTACGCTAAAAAAGCGCTTATTGATAAAACCCACCGTTATTTGGCGATTATAAAGCGATTATAAACGGTCCCGTTAATAAACGATTAAAAACGATTATAATCGCTTTTTCCATAAATTTTTTTTGCAAAAGCGATTATTAGCGCTTTAAAAGCGATAATAAATCACGAATTA